CAGGATGCAGAGTGAGGTACAGAAACGTTCGCCCCAATTGCCAACATTGAACGATTACTGCTCTTTTACGACCCAACTTTTAAAATTCTTGACCAGTTGAAATATATGCTGCGTTGACTAACCTTTCCATCGATATAAACCTTATTGCGAAATAAAAATTCGGTGTGATATAAACGTGAATTGAAATAACTCTTTGCAGATAGATTTCATAAAAATATTTCTACTCATTCCATTTATCACTGCTCTTTTACGATACAACTTACTTATGCAAATCGCGTCGTATTAGTCAAGCTTTCCATCCTTACAGAATTTATTGCAAAATAAGAATTCGAAATAACGGAGAATTAAGATAAGTTATCACATAATTAGTATGATAAAAGTGTTCATAGAAATTCGTTGATTTTTAAAATTATATATTTGTCAATAGCATTTGGCTTCTTTCGATAGAAATATAGAATTATATATAATATGAATATAGAACATAATATAGAAATTCGTGTAAACAACATGGAAAGACATACAAAGTATAACAAATGGCGGACAACCCTGTGGGTGTTGGTTTTATATGTGTGAATGCGAATGAGGTTGAATAAGTGAAACTCATTTGCGATGATATAAATATAATATGTGCGAATGCAGTCTAGTATGAATAATGTTTGAAACAATGTTTAGAAGAATGTGTCAGAATAAAACAGTTATGTGGGAATCGTCAAAGAGGAAACATGGGTATATAAAGGTTAATAAGAGTGAGAGAAAGAGAGAAGAATTTTCTAGAAAGTGTCAATCAATTTTTTATTTAAAACAGTTTATTGCGAGTTGTTTTCGTTATTTAAATATTTTTATGTAAATATACTGCTGTGTTAACTGTTAAAAAACATAGAAGATATTAGTGTCCATTTCTATCCATAAAGGTCCCCTCGTGATCGGTTACCATCCCGTGCGATATCTCTTTAAAGACACCACAGGAATATTTCTTTTTCTTGCTAGAAGCAAGATTTGTTCTAATATTTTTAATTGTTCAATGCGGCACTTTTTGTTTCAAAATATTTTCTAATTAGCGATTATATTCAAAATGCACTAACTGTCAATTTTCATTGAATTTTTACAATTGTAAGTAGTTCACCAATAACCACTGTGGCGTCACAGGAAAAACCGTGGCCGGTCATATTATACCAGGTTCTATCCTCCCAGTCATATCCTACCAGGCTCTTTTGCCCTTTTCTCTCAACAAACTCTCATATCAGATATAAGGTGTACGTCATTGAACTAATGACAAAAGCGATCGAACTAGCAAGAGTGTGTTATAAATAATGCGAAACCGAGTATTTTCTGCATTCCAATGATAAAAATGTTACAGCTCGTATCGTAAAGTAATAGCAATCGTTTCAAGTGGGTTATAGGAAGGATACGAATATTTTTGTAATTCATTATGTGTATCGTAGCGTGTAGAGGCATTCGATGAATGTAAATTTTATTGCGAATTAATTCAATGTAACGAGAACAAAACTGAAATCGTATCGTCTAAGAATTAACATCGTGAAAATATTCGTAGCACAGAGTATTTACCAATCGTTCTATATAATGCGTATTTCACTTTGCTGTCAATTTTTGCGAAATTAACATCGTGAAAATATTCGTATCTTGTAAGCTTATCGCGTTAGAATACTCAAAATTAGAATACTTGTAGAACTAGTCTGTCTTAGCCTTTGACTGAATGGAGACTTGTTAAGACTTGTCGTAATTCAATTTTTCAGCTATAAATGATTCTTCTGATATTTGAAGCGATACGTATATGATAAGGAAAGTGCAGAAAAATAATTAAATTGTACATAAATTAAACATACATATTATTATAAATTAAACAGCACCTATCTCTTTTTCGTGTTGCGATACTCATTGCAATGCAATATGTCACTTCTGTATTCGAATAATCCTCGTTCCATTATACTTTCAAACTTATTGTGTTTGCGACTGTGGACCAAAGAAGGCTCGGGTATAGCTAATGCAGAGTTGACTTGATGTGGGCAGTAAAGTAATACGTAATAACGTAACAAAACAGTTCGATTTGTGTGGTGTTTTCACTCGATTCAATCGGAACGATCTCAGGAGTCCATTAATATTTTACCGTGTATCGTCACTTTTAACAACGATTGACAACGATTAGTGATGGACGGCTCTTTGAGGAAATTGTATAGCTTCGAACAGTAAGTAAGAGTTATCTGGATATTGTGTGTTTCTATTCCATGTACTACCAAGTCTAGAATTTATATGGACCCCTGATAGGGCTATGTATTTTGCTATTGGATGGTATGAATAATTAATTCCGTTGGCACTCCCATGATCACAGGCAGTGACCGCTATTGGCCGAAGATGGTGTCAAAGATCATCGGTCACCGTTTTCGGCTAATAGGGGCCACTGTCTGTGATGAGAATTAGCAAAGTTAATCAATCGTGAAGATGTAATCACGCTGTGCCTTCTTTTCTCGAACCCACAGTACTTGGCGTATATGATCACCAAGCGTCAATGTGCCATCGTGTTCTATCTGAAGTACGGGGTAATATAGTACTTCCTAACGAGTGTAATAATACCGCCAAAACAGTATTTCGAGGATTAACTCCTACCTACACTCTTACCTCATACCTAAGTAGGTATAGTGCGTTCGAGAAAAAATGGCACAGCATGTTTACATCCCCACGGCTGACTGACTCTGTTAACCCTCCCTCGATCACAGATACTGATTATTAGTAGCGAAAGGTGACAAAGATCGTCGGCAGTCTATAACGAGATCGAATTCCTACCTTAATTTCCTATAATACACGCATTCTCATCAATGACAATCTGAAAACTCGTGTCATAGGAACATAGCAATAGTGATCGTTCATAGTCAACGATTTTCGAGTAGTACGAGTTACAGCACACTCTCGTTCCTTTCTAGAATCAATTAAACATTCCCATAGGTAGCTGTAATTAAAGGATTAAGATCACCCCCGAGGGCTACACGGGTATACGGCTTAACTGCATCTTAAGTTCCTCAGCTAGTACTTCGATGGCTGAATTGCACACACGAGACTTACCTAAAACACACACACACACGCGCGCGCGCGCGCGCGCAGATTCGTCTTGCCAGTTTTACTCGAGCTCGCATTGGGCCGATACCGATATAGTGCGTTTGAGAAAAGAAGGCACAATGTAACTCCGCTGACACTTCCATGATCACAGACAATGATCGTTGTTGACCGAAGATCATTGACAGGACAAAGACCATTATCACAAGACCATTGACAATGACAAAGATCATCGGTGATGATCCTGTGATCGAGAAAGTATTAGCAGAATTAATCAGACGTGAGGATGTAAACACACTGTGCCTTCTTTCGAACGCACAGTATCTATTTAACGAGTCCGACCACGTGATCCTTCACGAGTGTCCCACTTGCTTTCTTCGCTGGTCAAGCTTATCCTCTTTTAAAATACCCAACTCTCGCCGAGATGACCACTTGACACGAGGAGGATCGTTCACGTGAGCCCGATAGAGTCGGAAACGAATGACCATCGGCCGTTACGAAGTGCTTAGTCAGCTACTCCAGGAAGCACCTGCACGTAATGTCCAACGTCGCCGTATGGATTTCCGTGGATAGTTCACTTCCTCTAGAAAATTCGGAATACCCGATTTCACGGACCACGAGCCGCGTGGTACAACCTCTTTGTTGCTTCAGTCTTTTTTCCCTCCCTCTTCTTCCGTTCTTTCTTCTCATTCCTGCACGTGTCTCCTACTCCCTCTATTTGCTTTTTAGCCTCCTAGTCTCTGTCATGGCTTCCACCGTGCTCGCCTTGGTCGCCTTTTCTATTCGCTGTTCCACTTTTTGGCTGTTTTGCTATCACAGATGTTGGTTGCCTTGGTCCTTCAGGTTTAGTAGGTCCTTTCTGGTTTGTTGGGATCAATGAAGTTCGTGGGACGCTATGATCGATGTTGTGCATGTGTTCGACTAATCGGTTTGGGGCTAGGCTTCTTGTCTTTGTTACTGCTTGCAGTTTCTGGAGGTTAGAACTGATGTTTGCTTTAACGTGAAAGTCCTTCTTCCAACTATCGATTATCACAATAGGTAGTCTCTTCGATTCAAGAAGCGTCACTCCAATGCAAAGTAGCTTACATAACCGATGCCTAAAATAAATCCTGGAAGACATGTCTGAAACCTAGATGGAAAGGATCTTCTTAAAAATCCTTAAGAGAGAACAAAACTTTTGTCCTTTAATCGCTCACTGTCAACAGTACCGCTCAAATCAGCATTCCTATGATGGGAAAAAACATCCCAGTACCCTTGGACCTCGGTGGCCTAAGGGGTCGTAAACTAGTAAACTGACAAATTTGAACATGAAAACTCTTGCATCAGATTGTTTATAAAAAATTTTTATTCACAAGGAATAAGTTACATGTGTGTAAAACGACCAACATTAAAAATATTTAATGGGTCAATTTGACTCACATCTGTCAAAATAGGTATAGCACATATGGATTTTTGGAACTAAGGAATGGGGAGGGGAAGGAATTAATATTTGTATACATTTTATAATTCTATGAGAAACCAACATATGTTTTAAAAATATTATTTAAATTTTTCTATATATATATATAGCAATGAAATCGTAAATGAGTCAAATTAACTCGCTCCGGAAATCTAGTGTTAGGAATACACGTGTTACCGTATTAAAAAGTCGAATTGAGAATTGGGAAAAATTGAAATTCAGAGAAGTGGTTACCTCGTGTGGGCCTGCGCACATTCCCGCTTAAAATTCCAGCGAATTTCAGCTGCACGGAGTCTTCTCTCCGAATTCTCGAAATTTCGTCACTCGATTATAATTCTGTGCAGTATGTACGTATTTGCGCAGATCAAAGGTTTCCAAACGCCTCGTAATTTTCTAAGCCACGCTGTTTCATTGCAGGTAAGGTAGGTGCTACGTTGGAGTTCGCATTTATAAGCCCGTCATTTAAACATTCCAGCCACTTCGTGTGAGATATCTCCCGGTAGAATTCCCAATGATTATCAAACACGCGTAATGGCGGATATTGGTAAGCGAGATAGCGTGGAGACTGCTTTGCTCGAAAGTTGTATTAAGCTCTGAAAACCCGACGCGAATTGAATTCGTCTTAAATAGTAACAGTAACATAGATACGCCGAGGCGTAAAACGGATTTCGGCTTGAATTAATTTAAGCATGACGTGTTTTTACTTGGATCTGTTGAAACTCGCTTCGCACGCGTTTCTCTCGCTGCCTCACTTTCGTTCGCGTGATTTCCAGCAAATTATCGTAGGATTAGTGCTAGATTAATCTTAGGCAGACACAGATATCTGCACGTCTAATAAACAACCATTCCTTTTTAATAACAAAATAGATTTATTTAACTAAAATATTACGCTAGGTTTCTCTCAACTCTGATTCTGAAACACACGATCCTCTATTCACTACGTCTCGACTACACGCATTCTGCCTCGCCTGCGCCCTTGCACCCTTACTTAACCCTTTTGCTTCGGCAGTTCAGTTCATTTTAAGTTAGATTTTAACTTCGTAGGTGTGTACATTTCGATATGAAAATGAAAATTTGTCACGATCCATTGTTTAAAATTGAAATAAATAATTTAACAAATTAAATTTGGACTTTAATGCAACTTTGATAATGAAATTTTTATTTTTGTTAATAAAAATACCGCTGTTACGTGTTAATAAAATCGTCTATTAATCACGTGATGTTGAATTAAATAACTAATTATAATAATTATATTAAAAAGTAATAATATATGTTCGTAATAAACTATAGCTATTTAATTACAGCAATTGTAACCTAATGATTAACATTAAAAGTTTTTTAACGCCAGAGTTACTGGCCCATGGTACGTGTATAAATATCGTATATACAAATGCTAATAATAATTACAGTCTTACGATAAAAATAATTAGATATAAATTATTACATTTCTGCCCCCCTGTTTTCAACAATTGCAGAGATAAAAAATCTGAATTAATCATTCGGACTTGCTGATCACAGCGTTAACATTTCTTTCAGATCGTTTCGTATATTCCATACGAGATTTTGCTAATGTTTACAACTATGGCGTTTAATTACTTTCCACCATTAATTATCCGACGCTACCACATACCCGTGGAAGAATAATAGACGCGTGTAACGAGGAAACACCGGGAAACAATGAAATGTGTAATAATAAAGACATTGATCTAAAGTTATCTCGATCTATCGCGAAAGATCAGTTTTCCAAGTTTACGGATCAAGCGGATGTATAAAACATCTTTCAACGTCTACGAAACAAAGAGTGTACAGTAGCTTTTCAAGCAGTATGTGAGAATACGCCATTCTTCTTGGAACCAAGTCTCTACATAAATGTTATTCCAAAGCAAACAGTGAATCCACTTCGACATATCCTCTTGCAATTGGTTAGAAAAATGTTGAAACAACGGTATAAATTTAAAAAGATTTTTCGTTTTTACGTCTCGTTTTATGTTAAACTTAAGCGCGATAAATGGGATTTGAAAACGTTTTTGTAGAAAGGAAGAAATTTTCTTTTGGGGAAAGCTTTATTTATATAGAACCAGCTGTCGTTTAATATGCAATGGGAAAATAATTATTTCGTTTTTGAATATGGTATAAAAATGGAAGAATCTATGTATATTTATATAATATTATAAAATATATACTCTTATTTATAAAAATAAAGAATATTATATAATATTGTAAAAGTATGTTATATATACTTGGGAAAAGTATATTATTATCTAAAATAGATACTTTTAAATAAATAATATGTCATTCAGTGTATCATAGGATTTAAGTAATCGTTCAGTAATAAAGATAAAAGAGGTCACAAATCACTATGTTAGATCACTATGCTTTTTAAGTAACAAAAATACAAAAATTTCTTTTTAAAAGTTATTAATTCATATGGTAATTTAATACTACGGCTATCAATCTATAGTGTGTACATAAGTATAGTATACGTAGATAATAATAATTAAAATAGTATGATAAACTGTATATTATACATCCGTATGTAATTACTTATAAAAGTGAGCACTAGTTTGTATTAGTCTATATTATTCAATAACTGTCTACTTATGTAGACATCTGTATACATCTATAATGTATATATATATGTAATGTATATATAATGTATATATAATGTATATCTACATACAGTATACATAGAAAACAGCAATTAAAGTGATACGATGAAATTATTGTACTTAAATATTCAGGTATAATTACATCCCTATATCAGTAAGGCTCAAAATTACTTTTTCCAGAAAAAGGAATAATGGAATAATTTCAAAAACAGAAGCAAAAACAGAATATCTAAAATTAGACATTTTAACTGATTTAATAACTATTTTATTTAAAATCTTTAATAATAAACATAAGGAACTCTTATGTCTTTCTTTAATTCGAATCCTTAACCCTTTCGTTACGGGTGCCGACTATAGTCAGCGGCCGCGCGACGACTTGTGTGTACAGGTCTCTGCGTTGATTCTTGTTTTAGAATTTACCATACTGAATTAAATTACTAGGAATTATAATTTGATATCTAACTACCCCAAATTGTATTTTTACTTATAATAGCAAAATTTCTAAATATGTAAATTACTGAATATTCATACAATATACTAATTTTCATGTTTTTCATATAATACGATGAAACAGTTGTTATATAGTTCTTAAAAAAGTGTACATAAAAGACAATCACAAAGTGGCGTTGAAAAACGTAAGTCCGAACATCGACGACTACCGACGTGCAAAGTGCACACTTCGCGATGCGGGCTGCCGTAAGGAAAGGATTAATATACAGGGTGATCCACAGAACCGTAACAAGCAAATATCTCGAAAACTATTGAGTAGTTGCACTTATAATATGTTTTCTTAAATTGAATGACTAAATCTACAAATCTGCAAAGTTTCGACTTGCACTCTCCTTGTGAGCGTACCATCTTCAATCAAAACGGTACCCCGTGGGTAGAAATTACTCACCCATGTACCATATACCCCAATACCATATTCCCCTTCTATCCCATATCGAGTTTCTATCTTATTGACTCCAGCGTATACAGATCCTCGGCACCAACCAGCATAGAATGCAACAAGAAGTTAAACCCAAAAACAATTTTTTAAATTCTTTTGTAATGAAATTAGACCGTTTATAACTGCACAAAAATAAACTCTGTTATGGTTCACATGAATATTTATTTTAACTTCCATTAATGTTGCTATAAAAGTTTATTTATTTCTATAATCCCATTCTTATATTTAGCATCACGTGTATAACCTCCACTCTCATATAGCGAGCAACTAACGACTGACGCAACACTCCTTTGTCTCGTGGTGTCACACTAGGTGTCAGCACGCACAACAACAACAACAACAACAACAACACACATACACAAATGTAATATCCAATAATAATGTTTTATAAATTTATTTTAAGATAACGTTTTTTCGCAATGCGAAGAATAAGGCGCCATCATATACGCAACGATCTATCACTGTTGGCACTTTTCGATATATGAGCGTTCACTATACATATTGATTAACTCCACTTTTTGAAAAATCTTAAATATAAAAGGTTATGACTATACCAAGAGCTTTGACACTTAAATTTAAGATTCTTCAAAAAGTGGAGTTAATCAGTTTGTGAAATAAGCGGCTCATATATCGTCGTCCGGCACTAAAAGGGTTAAAATCTCAAGTTCTCCAGACTGTGGAGGCTCGAATCGTTTGTGTCGGAGTTCCGTGGATGGAACACTTAATGATAAGTCCAACTTCGCTTTCAGATTCTATCTGTATTCCACTTCACAATGTGCGTCTGTACTCCACGGATTCACGCGATCTCCTATCGCATTGTAAACACGCTACGCAGCAACAACCATAGATGGCGCGATTATAACGATGGCGGAGTAATTACCCATCGTTCATTTCCTGCAGTTTGAAATGCGATCCGAAGCTTCTGAAGGTCTTGACAGGTCTTGCAAGTGTCAAATTTTGAATTTCGAAGGGAATTCGAGTAATCTTGATAGATTGTAGATTATCTAGAAAGCGAGTCTGGTAATCTTGATAGATTGCGGATTACTGATTTAACTTTTCGCGGATGGGACCACATTTTTGTCGAAAATTAGTTCGAATGAGGAATTTTGGAACGTAGGATGAAGAAAGGGAGTATAACTTTATTTTACTTTTATCGAATTTTATTTTCTTTGCAGGGGAAGATGATTTTGGATATATTAAAGATAACATTAGGAGACTTTATATGACTTTTTATCTATACTTGTTCATCAAGGATTTAATAGGTTTCTGAACATAGTAGGCATAGATAATAGCAATTTTAGTGGTAAGATGAAGGTAAATAAGTATATTAATGACATTTTTATTTTCAATATGAATCATCACTAATTTTTTAAAAAACTGGTATATGTTTTTAATAATTATTGAAAGTAAAATTCTGAGACCAGTCATTTTTTTGGATTGGTAGTTCTAGTGTTAATAGGTAAAAGAAAATAAACGATTCCATTTATTAAATGAAGAAATGAATTGGCCTTAGATCGAAATTATGTTGTATTCGATCTTATCTTAAAATCGCATACAAATTATGTCAGTAAAAATTAAACGTAATAAAGGTTTGGTATCCCAAAATTTATGCAAGATTTGAATTTTACGCCATTTGTGCGGAACAGTGTTGCCAACGAAAGAAAAAAGGCAGCGTGACAGTAGTATAGATTAGTACTATCTTAATAATATAGGTTATTAAAGGGTACTTATACGAGATAAACATGATATTGGATTTATCAAAAGGTATAATATAAGGTGTCCCAAAATTCACGCAAAATTTGGATTTTACGCCATTTGTGCGGTACAGTGTTGCCAACGATAGAAAAAAGACAGCGTGACAATTGACACTTCATGCACTACACGAAGGAACAACGCGTCTTCATTGTCGAGCAATATTTACAATTCCTAATTGAAAACCTATGTTGTCTATCAAAATTATTTTAACCAAAATCTACTACCACCCCGAAATCACTGGGAAAGCAGCGAAAATCGTAGCCAGCGTTGGCATTTCGTTAGGTACGGCAACGACGAGCCACTTTCTAAAGCAGTTTTCCAAGATCTCACGCGTACATCCCGAAGATTTTTACGACGAGGGAGATTTTTCGCGAGTTAATGGAGTGTATCGCGAACAGGTGCTTCGCATAGCCATCGATCCTTGTTCCTGGGGCTCCAGTCGGAATTCGCCGGTTGTTCCTTAAACCGAGGATTAAATCTTCGATACCAAGCACTGGAAAGTTTATCGGGTAGCGTCGTCTTGCGAAACTTGGCATTAATTACTTTTATCGTTAGCCTTAAACCGGCGTTGAATTACGTAATGTTACAGCACCGAGTTTTGCTTCCACAATCTGCCAGGGTTTATTCCATTCAAATGCCGTAATCGTGCGTTGCGTGGCAAAAGTTCTTCGCTTTTCTAAAATTACAAAATAGCCGGGATCTAACGGTTCTTGGTTCGAACCTGGGCCCAGAATTAACCCCCTCCTCTGCTATTTAGCTCGACGAAATCCGGGCCCAAACGGTAGGCATCAACGTGCGGTAAACAGACCAGACTGATGCTCGAAAGCTTTCGCAATACGAGCCGAAATGTAAATACGTGTGATATACAGTGACTCACGAAAATATTCGGACACCAAGGTATGTCTGAATTAATCACATCGTATCGCAAATACATTGTACCCGTGTTGCTTAAGAGTTCTCCGAATTGTTTCAGGATGAACTTGTATTCCATTAACATCCATAATTCAGATGGAAAAAGAATGGTGTGGCGGAAAGCGAATGAAGAGTTCCATCATCGAAACACGAGAGGTACCGTAAAACACGGCGAAGGCAGCGTGATGGTTTGAGGCTGTATTTCGACCAGAGGAATTGGCAATTTAGTTTTTATTGACACCGTCATGGACAAAAACTGTCACTTACACCTATTGAAAAATAATTTATTAAATAGTGCAGAAAAAATGGGAATTTGCAACAATTTTAAGTTTTATCAAGATAACGACCCCAAACATAAAGCACGCATTTTTCAAGAATTCTTGCTTTATCGTTCCCCAAAAGTTCTTCATCCTCCACCACAATCGCCGGATCCCAATCCCA